CCCAAACAAAACAAAACTGCAGAAGTGCAACAACAAAAAGAACCAGGATTAAAACAAACTGTTCACTCTGCGGTAGAACTACCATCATTTTGTCCACCACTACATTATTTAGCTAGGAAATAAAGGGTAAAATTAGCTTAAATTGGTTGCATATGAGTTGGAAGGTCCTCTCTCGGCATCCACACGCCTCATGTTGGGCAATGCATGCAAAAAAGCCTTAGCCACACATGGCATGCATCATTACTTGCCACCACTATTTATTTTGATAGGCCCTTTTGTGGTATTGTGTATTGTCCAACTGAACTGAGCTAGAAGGGAATTACAACAATACTGTCATATATACACTGGCATGTGTTAATTCCATGTACCACACAATGGTTGAAAACATGATGCAGTCTTCATAAATGGTTCTCTCCTTGCCTTTTTACTTGAACATCGTGTGCTAGTTAGACTCACAACATGCTTAGCTTGTGCTTCGAGATAGCAGATGGATTCTGGTTTTGAAGATACCAATTTGCCAGGAGCCAGCAAAGATGCCTATCAAAACAGGCAATTTATTAGGAATCAACCGAAAGCACAAAAAAGGAGAGTTTAGAGTTATCCATCCCATTTCACTCAGAGGCAGGCTCAGTATACATTGCAATAAAAAGTACCTAGGAGCTACTGGTAACAACAAGCATTCAGGGCTTAAAGCCATACAAGTCAATAACTGAATTTCCATATGACTAAGCAACCTCCCCCTACTTCCATACACAGCTCCCACAAATGCCTGCATCTCACTGTGCCCCCCCCCCCTCCGGTTAGGTATAATCGCTCAACGGCAGGCCATAATTTTGTCCTGGGGCCACACAGTTTCCAAGTATTTCAGAACAATGAGAAAAAGAAAAAATGCTGAGGGGTTCATCCCTGCCTCAGTTATCTATCAAGCCCGTGGTCCATCTGGCAGGAAAAGTATAGACTTGAGAGGGTGGTAAAATGGTTGGCCACTTCAGCAAAGGAAAAGGGAAGGGAAAAGCCATTCGTTTTCGGTCTCAATCTAGGTTCATAAATTTATATGGGAATATGTGTGAAAGAAAACCTCAGCAAAGAATCCCACACAAATCATTTACACCGGAGAAAGAAATAGGAACTCCCTTCTACGAGCCATTCCCAGGAAGTTCTATCTCAGGGACCACTGTATTCAGAGGCACAAAGAGTCCCAGCTTTGCTCTTCAGACCTTCTGCCACAGACCAACCCCCCTAAAGAACCTGGCTTTTTTTCCTTTTGCATATATTTTAAGTCCAATATCAGAGAGTCTCGGTCTGCAATGCAGGCGTAGACTGCCAGTCAATCTACGGTGATGATCCAGTTGACATCTTGACATTAATTACCCATGTCCTATGCCAAGGAAACATGACCTCTATCGAGTCAAGATAAAAGACAATTAATTATTCACATAAATAGGATGAAAAAGGGCGCCGACTCGTCAATTCAGCCTGAGAATCTTCTGAAGCGCCAAAATCATTTAGGAATACCAGCCTATTGACTTTGAGTCAGACTCTTCAGTCACTTTTGAAAATAGCACCTAAGTATTTTTACTCCGCTTTAAAGCTGGTGGCTTGTTACGGAGATGCTCAGATTTCCTCCAAATCTTCTGGCTGAATCTTTAAATTCTGGATCCATATCATTACCCTGATCAAAAATAGCAAATCAACCACAGAAAAAAATAAAGGCGTAAATATCCAGTTTCAACAACACAGAAGCAAATTGTTTGTTAGCGATTGAGAAATGTCACGAAGCACCAGCATTTATTTCAACTCCTGTATTCAAAGCCCTACAACGAGAATGGTATTAGTAGCCCGGAAATAACAAGGATGTCCTTTCTCATGAGTTACTACAACACCATCCACACCTCTTGGTTTGGTTTTTGCTCGCAGGTGAGAAAGGTCCGGAAGACAAGTGTTGACACAGAAAATAAGTGCTTCCTGTCAGTTTCTATTTCTCTGGTGGTGGCAAAGCCTCCAAGCCGCACGCGCTCATAACAAGCTGTAAATGAGAATGTCTCCATCCTTTGTTAGAGACAACATGGGTGAGGTAATAACTTTTATTGGACCAACTTCAGTTGTTGAACGAGTCAAACTTTCAAGCTTACACAGAGCTCTTCAGTACCTCTTTCAGGCATGAAGAACAGCTCTATATAAGCATCAAGCTGGCCTCTTTCTCCAGCAAAGTTGGTCCAATAAAAATTATTATATCGCTCACCTGCTCTTTCTAATATCCTGATGCCAACCAGGTGATGCCACCATACCATCCTTTGGAATGTTGCTGTTCTTTTAAAAGGAAAAACAGATACCTAATATTCCCCAGAACAAACAGTTATGAAGGGTAGAATTAGCCCCTTTTTTCTGGTGTTTTCCAAGCATTTTTGAACTGGGGCAGGAGGTGGGGTAAGTGCGCAGTTGTATCATTTTAGGGGAAGTGAGCCAGCTTAGCAGGATGGAACCACTGAAGGTCACTAGGTGAAACAGCCTTTCACAGCTGGTAGACATGACCCTATAATGGATATATCAACATATTCTTCATGAAATAGGACCACGGGGACAGGACAGGACATGTGAAAAGACTGAAAGTTCTCCAACTTACTTCTGTATTCTGGCTGGGTTGATTGAGTTGAGGTTGGTCCTGCTTTGGGCAGGGGGCTGGACTTGATGACTCCTGAGGTCTCTTTCAGCCCTAGGATTCTATGATTACAAGAGGTTTTAACTTCCTGGCAACAGCAGCTCGGATTCCTCCTCTTAGATTCCAGTCAAACCATCTTAGATTTTTGAAAATCAAGCCCCCATGCAGCATTTTGATAGATAATTTTGTTTCATTTCCAGCATGGATAGCCGCCAACCCTTTTCTACACTAAGGTTTCGGGTCACTGCTGATAATACGATTTGATTGATGGACTAATATTCCCTGTTCTACCTGTTAGGTTAAACGGGTTCTGAACAGATTTTCTGTTTCCTTCAGAAAGTCATCTGAGTTTTCTGCTCTCAAATACTGTATATGGTAGTTAGCACAAGAAGAAAGAGCTTTCAAAGTAAGGAATGGAGGTGGAGGGGAGAGAGACCATTGGGTTTGGAAAAAAATCACTGTTTGATCAAGATTTGTATAATGAAATAGGAGATCTCACTGCAAGTCTCAGCCAAATCGCACAAGTCAGATAGCTGGTTCTCCTCTTAGAGGGCTGTGTTAGACAGACATCAGTCAGGGATGGTCTAGATGGTACTGGGTCCTGCCATGTTAGGGGACTGGTCGCTATGACCACTTGAGGTCCCTCCCAGTTCTAGTGTTCTAGGATTCTATATTTTCTGGAATGGCCATGATGGTGAAAATGCAGGTGCAAGGTTATACCATACAAACATTCAGAAATATCCAGCAGAACCATACTGTCTTCCCACCATCAAAGGGCACTGAGAAAAGAAACTTTGGGTAAGACCTCCCGAAGAGCTGTTGGGGACTTACATAAACCGGAGATGTTGGAAGACCCCATATATTCAATCTATCCCCTGCCTTAGCCAATGCTTGATTGTTCCCTGCCGTATGATATCTAGAGTTTCATCCAGCTTAGTTTTAAATGTTCTCTGACAACAAGGCATTTAGTTGAAGTTTCACTTCCTGACTTCAGACATGAGTGAAAAGGAAGTCAAAATAGTTGAGAGCAATCGTTTAATTTGCCTATTCAATGCCCCACCTCTTCACAGCCAAACAGAACCCTAGGAGCTGAAACAAAATCCGAAGCAGGGAGGGCTGTGTATATTAAGCAAAACCCACACAAAGGAAGAAGACAACTCTCAGACAACAGGAGTTGTCAGAAGGGAATGAAATATTTTGCTGGTAATAAAGAGAGGCAATCCTACACACCATCAGTGTCCTGCTGCAACCTGGATGACTGGAAAAAAAAAGTCTGTATTCTTCTGGAAAAACATTTCTCAATGTCCCAGAACAGTGCTTGAATGATACACAAGACACTCAGGCAATTTTGTCCAACCGGGACCAACCAGTAGTTCCCCTGCTGTTTCATTTCATACAAGAGAGTCGGGTAACTTCACCTCCACCTAATGAGTATAGTACCAGGGCAGGCCTAGCTCCCGATAGTGTATTCTTCAGCTTGGCAGAATTCCATTCTTATTTTTTATAGTCTCGAGAACATCAGTGTTTAACACAAATGCTTCTTACAAGTTTGATGTATTTAAATTTCAGCCATTGTGGAAAATGATGGAGGACCCGATAATCATTAAATGACAGTAGACACTGAGATCCAAACAGTTAGCCAAAGTGTAAATACCTGCTTAAGGCAGTGTTCATTACATGTTTGAACACATTCGCATGGGACTCGGGCAAGTTCCCATGTCAGGATTTCTTACGTTGCCTACTTGTAAACATTGATTACCGGCAACAGAATTTTCTCCTTTGCTGGACTGGACACATATGTGCACAGAGAAATCAACATTTGCTGAAAACAAAAATCTAATCCCTCCAATCCTACATATTGTGCACAGGATTCTGAAAAGGTGTGAAATGTGGCTCCAGTCCCTCACCTTTGCAAGGATCACCTGTTAGAAACTGAACAGGAAAAGACAAAGGGGACAAAAACTTTCACCCCCCAGCCCTCCAGAAATGGTTAGGAACACACTCCTTTTCTCTTGGTAGAAAGGGCTGCGATTTTGGCTTCTGGCAGAAGGTGGCTTTGGGGAACAGTTCTGAGAGTTAAAAAAGTAGAAAGAATTAAAAACTGCATGAGAAGAGACGTCTCGCTGTGTCAATGCGTGTGTGCGTGAACCCAAGGAGGAAGGGCATGACCACCTATCTCCAGTTGGAGCTAACCGACGAGGGCGCACCACCTCTATGTAACATTGATTCCCCTGTCTGGCTCTGCCCGGGATTCCTGGAAAGTCTGGCTTGTTTGAGCAGACGTCATAGTGCAGATCAACTACATTTTTTGAGGGTATTAAAAAAAAAAAAGTCAACATACCGGTGTGTGTCTGTCTGTGCGCCTCCAGGGCATCTTCCTTAGAGAACTGTGCACCGCACTGATCACAGACAAATGCTTTGGCACCCGCTGGAAGGAATGGGGGAGAAAAAAAGAACATATTATGAAAGTACCCAGGCATTGCGGACAGCTTCTGATGAGCCAACAGAAATACTATCTGTAAACATCTTTGTCAGAGAAGATACCGCAACAGCAACCATGTAATCTACAGCAGGTAGGACAGAGAGAGACAGACGACTGTAAAGTAACCTGCAAGAGTCTCTGTGCCAAGTAAAAGCGTGTCAAAATTTTCAAAATGCTGCAGTTAATGTGAATTTTGCTTCTAAGAAGCCAAACCAGAACCTGCACCCAAGATCGCTAACTAAAGCGCTATTCCTGGCAGTATTTGATAACACACTACAGCTACGTCTACACTGGCATGATTTTCCAGAAATGCTTTTAACGGAAAAGTCTTCCGTTAAAAACATTTTTGGAAAAGCACGTCTAGATTGGCAGGACGCTTTTCCGGAAAAGCACTTTTGGCGAAAAAGCGTCCATGGCCGATCTAGACGCGCTTTTCCGCAAAAAAGCCCCGATCGCCATTTTTGCGATTGGGGCTTTTTTGCGGAAAACAGCACTGTGCTGTCTACACTGGCCCTTTTGCACAAAAGTCTTTCGGAAAAAGACTTTTGCCTGAACGGGAGCTGCATAGTATTTCCGGAAAATCACTGACAATCTTACATGAGATCGTCAGTGCTTTTCCGAAAATGCAAGCGGCCAGTGTAGACAGCTGGCAAGTTTTTCCGGAAAAGCGGCTGATTTTCCAGAAAAACTTGCCAGTCTAGACACAGCCTACAAGTTATCCATGCTTGAGGACAGGATAGAACAATTCTTTCAAGGGTGGGGAATCTTTTTTGGGTCGGGGGTCACTGACCCCCAGGAAAAAAATAAGTCAGGGGCTGAAAAAGAGTGAGAAGCAACCCTGCCACTACACATTCCCCTCACACACCAGACCCTGGGGGAGGACCCAGGCTAGTACATTTTGTGGGTTCCCCAACACTGTGCGGTAGGACTAATAATGAGGGGTTCAGTGTAAGGGGGGCTGCCGGGAAGCAAGCTTAGGATGTAGGGGTTGGTGGGTCTGGGAGGGTGCAGGAGCAGAGTAGGGGTTCAGGTTTTTGGCGAGAGGGGGAGCTGTAGGTTGGATTGCCAGCTCCCCAATTCTGGGGGGTTCCCCACATGGCACCACTTTGTGCTCTTACTGTGAAAGGGATGCAAACTAGGATAACTCCCAAAAAATGGGATGCGAGAAGGAAGAAACTTTGTAGAACAGGAAATGCATTCAGTAAAAGGATCATTTTTTTAAAAACCTAATAAGATAACCCGTAGGCCCCAAATTATCCTGAATCTTTTCCAGCACCAAAAGAAAAAAAAAAACACAACAGGACAAAACACTTTGGTAGTTGCTGAGAAAAACAACCTAATAATAAAATACATGATTAATATTACATTGCTCTTTAAAATCAAAGAGTTGCTTTCCAACAAATTAGATATTTGTTTAAAAAAATCATTAGACATCAGTGACTTTCACTAGCGTTGTAACTGATCTAATTTTAATTGGTTTCCCTCGCACTCTCTGCCAATTGTAGCAGTTATTACTAGTATCTAAAGAAGAGAGGAAAGAAAGAACGCAGCTCTATCTGATAAGAAGCGTGGCAGAAACAACACAATTTAGTGAAAGGCACAGATATTTCTGTGACTATTAGAGAGATGTGGTATTTGTGGGAATTCTTAGAAAATTGCTATCAACATGCGCTGCATATTGTGGGTCAGAAGCTGTAGTTATAATGAGAAAAAACAGGATGTCTAACAGCAGATAAGTAACTTACAGATAAAAATAGATTAACAATACACACAATCTTCTAAGCATATGCTGTCAGGACAAAGCTGTGAATGCATTTGTTAGATTTTGAAGTTTGATTCATCTGCTGGAAGAAAACTAAACAAGGATTAAAGTATGACAGGGTAACCTTCAAACCGGTTGGATGGGCGTGGGGATGGGGGGAGGGACACCAGCTACCTCCCTTGTTCATGCATTTTGGTGACTTATCACAGGGATGCTTTCAAATGTAGCCGGGAAAGCTATGAGGCTGATTTCCAGGAATTCAGGTGGCATTTCTCATCCTGGTCCCAGCCCTCCAAATTAAATACAAAGGAAAATACGACATCCCTTCTCCTGCAAGAATGCAGGGCTTTTGAGAAAGGTGCAGACAAAACAGGTACAGAAAGACAAAGATACCATGAGATCCATTAAAGAAAGAATTCCTTTGCTTTTAAATTGTCTTAGTTACGGCTAGCTCCCGGGCAGAAATATTTGGCAGCAGCGAAATTAAAAGTGATAAATTTTCTCGCCAAGCTTTGATCGATAATAGAGGTCTCATCTGTTAATCAATAAGACAGTCTGCCTGTTTACTGTGCATATGTTGTTCTCTGCTGCCTTCAGTATGATGTCAAGTTTGCATTCAAAACAACTGAACTGTGCATAAACCACATGGGCTTTTCCCTAAAAAGAAGAAGAAGAAAAAAGCACTCGTGTGACATCATATAGCCAGGAACAGTTAGAAAGTCATCAGTAGGGACTTGCTTCTTTTGGCTACACATCTTTTTTTTTAAGCACATATTTTTTTATGCAGGCAGATTATTTCTGAAGAGTTTCTTCATAGGCTAGGGCCGCAGTACAAAATGGATGTGGCCAACTTGACTTCCAGCCAAGTTGATGCTGCCCTAGTTCAAAGAGGAAGGAGATAAGGAGAACACACAAGGATGTGATGCCAGCTGTCCCTTCCATGCACTAACCAAGTATTGCTTTAATAACAAACACAGCTCTATTACCAGCATAATTGGAAAGGTCAGTTCTGTTACAGTCTGTCATGCCAGAGATTACTCAGAGAATGTTTTGTTCCCGGATCATTGACCCAAAAGGCCAGTACAGTTCCTATCGATACTGCACTTACACCCTTAGCCAAAGGCTGACATCTCGTTGAGTTGGGGTGGAACAGCCTGATTGCAGAAAAATGTCAGCTCAGTCTCAGGACATTTATTTCCCCCCCCCCCGAAACAGAAATAAGAAGTGACTAGTCCACATCTAACCGTGAGAATATGCTAATTTATGGCAGGTTTGGTTTTGTTTTGAGGAAAAAAAAGACGCTGCATTTGATGTACAGGAAAGCACAGGTCTGAAATGACTCACTTCTGTGCCTGCTCGGCTCTCCTGGCTGACCGCAGGACATGCGAAGCAGCAATACACGCCAGGAGGAAGAATGCAAACAAAGTTGGAACAGCATGGGACAACTTCCTGCCACACCTAGACAATGGATCAATTGATACCTGCTCTGGGCAGAAGGCCAGTTGGAATGGCGGGTGAGCCAAACGTGGAAGCAGGCACGCAGATCTAGAGTAGGGCTTTAGTAGCCTGATTGAGTGGCTCAACACCCCACAAAGCCTCTGAACTCAGTGGCAGTTCAGGAGTGCTCAGTAACTCTGACAGCCAGGACATTCATTTTATCAGCCACACGAGTTTGCCCTGGCTTACAAATACAGACAGTCCCTGTCACCGTTGTAGGCCTCCCTTACGGCTTCAATCAAGTGTTCTATCAGTTTAGTGTTGGCTACCTCCATTGGAGGATTCTATCCTGAACGTGAAGGGCAGGGACATGCTCTTTGGTCTAATATAGGGGTGAGGAACTTCAGGCCTGGGGGCTCCCCCAACGTTGGGGAACCCAGTCTGGTGCCCCAGCCCCCCTGCTACCCCACAGCAGAATTTAAGCACACAAAATCTACTTGACTGGACCCCCTGGGCTCTGAAGAATGTGGGGAGTGTCTTTCTCCTCAGTCAGGGGCCACATCAGCGAGGGTTTGTGAGGGTTTGCATTTTTGGGGGGAGCTTCTCATTTGTGTGTGGACCTCTCCTGATTTTCAGTGGGTCAGTGGCCTCCGACCCATAAAAAGTTCCCCACCCCTGGTCTAATAGGTACTTCTAAATCCCTGGATTCTGTGACGCATAGAACACCTCATTGGGATTTTGGGCGGTGCCTCTACTAAAAAAAAAAAAGCTTCTTTGCTAGGCCATTGTACTGCACTCGCCAGGTTTAAATTAACGCAGCCCGGTTCTATGAATGCCTGGGAGAGCAAGAGGTGAAGTATGGGTAGGCCAAGGCATCTTGATAGAGGAAGTCACTGAACAACATGCAATGAAAGCAAAGTTTGGCCAAAGCCTTCAGAAACACCTGGAGTACAAAGCACATATCAAGCTGCACCTAGAACGGGGTGGGCAAAGGGGCCTCTGCAGGCCGCATCCAGCCCGCCAGTCTGGTGGATCCGGCCCATGGCCACCCTACTATTCCCTGGGAATGAGACCTGGGGACGGGGGAGCATGCGAAGACTCCTCCACCCTGGCCAAGTTGCTGTGGCTAGAGGGAAATGACGGCTGTTTTAAAACAGCTGGATATTCTCTCCAGGAGGGGAAGACGTCACGTGCTCCCTCACCCCAGGCCAATCAAGGTCCGTGGCCCACTTTTAAAAATGACTTAGATCTAGGGATGTAAGTGACTAGTTGAGCAGCTGACTATCTGATAAGTCTGGGCTTATCGGGTAGTCGAATTACTACTTAACTACTCACTTCCCCCCTTTGCTGCCTCTATCAGAGGCAGCAAGTGGGGAGCAGGAGCCAGCGCTAGGGGGAGCCAGCTTAAAAGCTGTTCTTCCCAACACTGTCTCTGCAGGGGGTGGGTGGGCAGGGGAGGCAAAGGTGTAGCAGAGGACTTGGCATGAGCCGGGACTGAGCAGTCCTGGCTAACGCTGGATCCGAGATCGCTGCTTTTTAAACGCAGTAAGAGTCGCCAGGCTCGCACCCGGTCCCCTCCTGCAGTTCTGCCTGGTGGCTCTTACTACATTTAAAAAGCAGAGCCGCAGCCATCCGGGACTGCTCAGTCCCAGCTCATGCTGCCCTGGGGAGCTAACCCCCTTATTGACTACTCAATGGAAATTCCATCGACTACTTGATTAGCTTATTAACTGCTACTTAACATCCT